TATCTATAGATATTTTTGCATTTTAGGTGGAAGCCAGCTTAAATTACTTAATTTATTCACTTGACATTATATAGATCAGCAGGGGATTTCTTTTGTCAAATCATCACAATGTGCATGTGTCTAGCAATTCATTATATATAGGATCTTTAGACCATGCAAGCACATGTAATGAAATCTTGTTCTAACTGGCTTATTTCTTTTAATTGATTTTATTTTCCTGTTACCATTAACATGAGTTATGAAATTTAAAAGCAATTAACAAAATTGTTAAAGTTACTTTAAGTGAATCTGTTACATTAAATCATGTTATACTTGTAGACAACTGTTATACAGTAGTACAAATATTTCCCTAAAAATAAATCTTTTGTCATACAGAATTATTTTAGTTTGATTGTGTAGGAATCTATAAGCTTATAGGCACACTGTCGAATCTGTTCCTGGAACCTGAACCAGTACTGAGCAATGAGTGTAAAGTTTCTTGCACAAGGAAACAACGACTTAACCCTGTCTGGGTTTGAACCCATGGGACAAGTGATCATTAGATTACTAGTCTGACACGTTAACCACTCAGTCAATGATTTAATTGTTGACTCTGAATAACAATATATTAGACAACTGCAAATTCAGATTTTCTTCCTTAATTTGTGTAGTGAACTTGCCTAAATGATGTCAGGGGAAAAAAGTAAATGATGATTCTAAAATAAGGCAGCCAACAGAAGGGAGAATGGTAAACACAGTGATTGCAAAGACTGGCCATCTGGTTTTAACATGTATTGATAGCATTGACAATGTGTTACAGTATAAGCGCGGTAGAGACGCCGCACAATCTCCGTACAAGCACCATGGATAACTACTGTGTTCATTTGGCATTCCTTTTACGCTTTCATGGCACTCCTGTTGCGTTGTATGAGATGCTACTGAGTTGCTACGGTGTCCTTACTGCGATCCCACTGTGCTCTTATCAGAACACCAAGTGACGACATTTGTTTTGAGCATGCTCAAAATGTGCGCCATAATGGGTGGGTGTTCTATGTGGTGCCACTACGATGCTGTTGGAATGCTACGGCAATGTTTGCAATCTTATCTCGCTCTTCTAGGCGTTCTAAAATTTCTTTGGACGCCATTAGAACGCTTCTTTGGACGCCATTAGAACACAGCCTAAGTGTGACAGGGGTTTTACATATGTAGACAAGTCATTATTGCAGACTGCTGTAACATCTGAAGGGAAGACATTATTGCTTCAAAGTCATAGACATTACTAAATCATTCATTGTTCTCTTTAATATGAGTGTTATATGGGGTTATTTTAGTTTATACAAAGGGGAGGTCTGTATCTATCCACATTAACTATTAATGGCTTGTCTATTGTTTTAAGTAAACAATCATGTTGGGTTGTCCGATAACAAATCTAATGTAATGTAATCTACAAATTAATCCGTAATGTCTTCTTCTGTAAAATAGCGTGTCTTCCTGTTGAATAAGATCTTTTGAAATTTGCTGATCTTCATGAATTTAGGATGGTTAAGGTCAAGGCCTAATTGAGGGAATCATTCTTTACACTCAGGCAATCTGGCATTGATTTGAAGAGTTCGTTAAAGTTTGCTTATATAATGCCAGGACTGTTGGAGAAGCATTACAGCAGTATAGGGACTTAAGTACCCAACTGTATAGTTGTGCAAGGCTTGCCTCAGGCTCTATAATGGTAGCAATTTTTAAAATCATAATTTACAAATTTACTACTAAACATTCATTATTTGGTAGATCTCTTCTTTAAGGAGCTAACCTGAATCCCTCAAATGTTGTATTAACATTATGGGATGATCATTTGTATTCTTTATCAGTTGCAAAGACAGTTTTTTGCCGCAAATACCTAAGTATAGGGACTCCTAGACAAGGCTTGCCTGAGGCTCTATAATGGTAGCAATGGTTAAAATCATAAGTTATCAATTTACACAACCATAACACATTCATTATTTCATAGTTTATTCTTCATATGGAGCTCTTTTAAGGAGCTTAGTATAACCTGAATCCCTCAAATGGTGTATTACCATTATGGGAATCCAGGGATGATCATTTGTATTCAATGACAATTTTTTGGGCAAATACCTTTAAAAAAAGTTGCTTCATCTGAGGTCAGGATGTTATTTCAATTATTTAGGTAACAAGTTGAAATAATCTACATAATGTCAAATGATTACACCATAGGTTTTGAATGATTTGAATGGTGAAATAAGCAGTTTTCCCAAAGCTTAACAAGATAATGGCCAGCCCCCCTATAGTTCATTATCACATTTTGACAGGTTCAATCAAGGTCTCCAACAGTTAAATTTTACATTATGTAGTCAGTCTTTTCAATTATAAGGGTATATGGTATTATACCACTAAAAAGGGTAATTTCCTTAGCAATATAAAAATGTTACACTATTTTTGTAAATTTCAATTGCAATAACCTCTCCCTTTTACTATTACTAATTAGAATGTTAATTTATAGGTGCTAAGTTTAACATCACATGAAAATTAACACAATTTAGTACAGGTGATTACCTTATTTTATTTGAATGATTAAAGAACGAGGGCCATTGCATTTTGGCAGTAATGCATAGTACCTAACACTTAGCCATGAAAAAAACAACAAAAAAACACTGAGCCGCTCTTGACTTTAATTTTGTAAATGCTAACTAAGGAACAATAACTTATACTGAGTTAGTATCAAAGTACTGTAAATGAGTAGCCAAACTTATGTTACTACATTAGTCTCAATGATGGATCTCGATGTGTGGGCTGGCTTGCAAACTGACTCAGACTAATATCACTCAGGCAATGTTGTACTGTAGTGATTGCCAATTGCACTCATAGCACTATTAAGTACTTTTCATTCTCGACATTTATGTATTTTTCAAAATTTCATCAGAATGTACTATATTAAAGGTCAGTTAAAATAGTATGGAATGAGACATGTGCCCTTGGTGTAAGAGTTAATTTGTTTATGAAAGATTCTCATACAAACTTGTCAATTAAAATATGGAAACAATTTCCATTACAGCACTGTTAAACAGAAACTTGTGTTTTATTTTCTTGCAACAATTGATTCCCATAAAACCTGACAATGATTTGTGGTATTACTTGGTACTGTTGCAGTTAGGTTGTCAGTGCATTTCAAGAAAACTTCCCACTTAACGCAGCATTGAGCCGTTTGCCGATCAATATCGGGCATCAGAAATACAGGAAAATATTCCTGATTTATAGAAGCATTGTAAAACATTTAACAGTTTTTCTGGTGATCCCGGTATGTTTAAATTGGATAATTATCAACTGAGATGGTGGCAACAGTAAACAGTATTGATTCATTGCAAAAATAGTAAATGGAGTAATTATCTGACTGATTAAAATGTGATTTTAATGAGAATCAAAGAAAACTCAAAAAGTTATATAATGAAAACAGTCTATTTAAAGAATTGAAGAAACCTTGTGTACTGAAACACAAGAAAATCTTGTAATTATGCCATAGGAATGTTTTGAGAATAAAAGAAGTAGAAGCATTTTGTTTATTCCTAATCAAAGCAAAAATCATTCTAAACATTTATAAGCTTATTTTTAAATTTTAAATGCAATATAGTCACACAATAAAAAGCAATATTCAAAGCCTCCGGTGTTTGTTCATATAAGATTATCTTCAATGTATTGGGAAAAGCTTTATGGGGTAAGAATATATAAGAGAGAAAAAAATATCATAAGTGGGGTAATAGAGAGTTCAAGGCAAGTATTTGTCATTTATTTAATTATGTCAAACAGTTGTATATACAACCTGTCTAGAATATTCATAAATGTCTTGAACTTTCAGTAAATGATTATGTTTGAGGAGTCTTTATACACAATTATTGTATGGTAATGATGAGGTAAATATTCAAGTTGATGGGCCTGGCTAATGTGATGGGTGAATATTACATTTGCAAGATCAATAGACTTGGATATTTACCGATAATATACATACAATTACTTTTGTTATATGACACAGAGATAAAATTCTTAATTTTTCAAGCTGTCCCAATCAGAGTTAAAATTCTTAATTTTTCAAGCTGTTCCATTTCCTTTTTCATGCTAACAAACCCTTAATAAGAAGACGGAATGACCGGAAAGTTGTTTAGTTGTTTTGGCATTCTATTCCATTTTCAAGCGGGTAAATCTAAATGTTCATAACATTAAAGCTCAGTAAAATGTCTTTTTAGCTTATCTTTGTATTTTTTACAGAAAGAATGCTGTCTGAATCTGTAATTTACATATGAGCCGCGTCACGACAAAACCAACATAATGGCTTTGCGACCAGCATGGATCCAGACCAGCCTGCGCATCCGCGCAGTCTGATCAGGATCCATGCTGTTCGCTTTCAGTTTCTCTACTTGTAATTGGGTTTGTAAGCGAACAGCATGGATCCTGATCAGACTGCGCGGATGCGCAGGCTGGTCTGGATCCATGCTTGTCGCAAACCCATTATGTTGGTTTTGTCATGACGCGGCTCATATGATGTATGTTTTTGATGGATTGGCTTGTACTTGGACAGCTAATACTCAATATATCAATTAAAGCCATTTATGATTGGCTTCTAATAATAGACGGTTAAATTTAGCAGCACTGTATGATGTTATGACATACCATAGTTTTTGTTTTGTGGCAAATAGCCCTTTTAATAGACCATCAACACAGGGAAATTGGTTGTCATATAATAATCAGCTTTAATTGTTATAATATTGATGACAATTTTAGGAATTTTTCTGAATTCTGGATTTTCAAACTTATTTGTAATGTTGGTAATACTCCCATAACACTTCTCTTTCCCAATAAAAGATTTAAAAAGTTTGTGAAATACATGTCATATCATTGATACATGGAAATTTGAGTGTTCCAAAGGCATAGATTCCATCGCTTTTAATGACCAGTTACATCACTTGATATGATAATATTTGTAGTCTCTTGTTAAGATGTACTATATTATATATTTGCAGAAAAGCCAAAAACGTCAGCAACATGCAGTTAAAGAAACAGAATTCCTTCGCCTAAAGAGGTCAAGACTAGGTGTAGAAGATTTTGAGCCGCTCAAAGTTATTGGTAAAGGTGCTTTTGGAGAGGTAAGGAAATGTAAAATGATGTTATATATTTGAGCCGCGCCATGACAAAACCAAGAAAGTGCGTTTGCGACCAGCATGGATCCAGACCAGCCTGCGCATCCACGCAGTCTGATCAGGATCCATGCTATTGGCTTACAAACCCTATTACAAGTAGAGAAACTGATAGTGAACACATGGATCCTGATAAGACTACACAGGCTGGTCTGGATCCGTACTGGTCGCAAACGCACTATGTTGGTTTTGTAATAGTGTGGCTCAATTTTGTTGCTTCAATGATAAATAACAATATTGGAATAAGATTTCTGTTGTTAAATTCCAAAATTGGAAGGAGACCGACATCTATTTTGAAGTTGCAAAGTTAGAATGAAATTACAAAGCTGGAAAGGGGTGTCTGTTGTAAAATGCTCGCAGAGGTTGATGTCACATTACTGGCCCCATGGAAATAAGACAGAGGTCTTTGAATAGGATGGAATAACTATATTGGCATTTCAAGGCATCAGTTACAAATAGATTTGCATTATATGGAAAGTTACACTGATAAGTAACCTTACTTGAACTGTATTGATAAGTACTTGTCATTGCAATTTAATTCATAACCTGTTAAATTTGTGGAATAGATTTGCCCTTTGCTTTGACTTGGATGTAAAGGAATTGAATATCAAATACCAAAATAAAAAAATTGGACCACCAGCGGTATACTGGTAACAAAGGTTAATCATTTTAGGTTTATAGGGTTGAATTTTAAGTTAACTTGAGAATACAAGTATAAATGACAAGTTTTGGCAACATGCTTTTCTAACATTTTCAATCAAGGACTTTGCATAGTGCATTTATGTTTTATTAGTCAATAAAGCTTGCCATTAATAAATATTGCTGTGACAACTGTCATGAGTCATGAGTATTTATAAATATTTACTTAAATCTTAAGTTAATGTTTAACCTGGTTTTAATGTTTACATTGGTAGACGTGGCTTCCTGTATAAAAGTGTTTAAATGGCAGAAATCGTGCTTAGTTACTGGGTGAATTAATATCCTCAATAAAATTCTGGTATTGAAATCCCTTCAATCTTTGTCTATGCAAACATTTTACAAATCTCTTTCTGTTTTTGGGAAGAGAGTGAGCTTATTTTCCTTGTTAAGTTCAACTATTTTGATACATTGTTTTAAATAGTGTCCCTGTCTGGGAAAAATACTTGTTCAGTTTTGCTTTATGCAGAATCAACCTTTAATTAGTACAGTATGTAGACACACTTGTCACTGAGTGTCAATTAAGTTTTTAGCCAATGAAAAAGCTGGATTTTTCATAGATTTTTATATTTTGAAAAAGGAAATGAAAGAGAAAAAGTTGATCTGTAACTTGGCCTTGTAACCTGTCCTAGCTTATGACTGTTACTGACTGCCCCTTTTATTTGGTTATACAATACTTCCTTATTTGACTTAGCAACTGGAGTGGTTTCTTTTGTTTTTTTAATCGTCACGAAATCTGAAATCTGATTAGGTGGAACAACTCAACAAGTGGGAGAAGGAATAATTTACAAGGTTACATGCAATATAAATAATACCGACATTGATTGCTAATTTGACTTGAAATAACCTTGAATTTATTGTAGATTTATGGGTGATTAATGTGCAGTCAGAATACGGAAATGTTCTGTTTAACTTGTATTTGAATAAATAACTAATCAGTTCAGTTTGAAATAATGATTTTGTTCCATTGACTATATGATGAATATCTGTAGTTTCCTGTTTGTTGACTGAATATCATGTAGTTTCCTGTCCCTGTATGAGTGGGTATGTTATCTTGTTGTTATTGATTATATAACATAGAAATCACCTTCAGCTTTTAGATGGTTTGTAAAAAAAAAGTGTATGATCAATGTCATATATTATACATACGTGATTCACGTAATAACATTGCGTGCGTAGATGGCACGTGCCGAGCATTTTAAAGGTAATTTTCAGTCGTAAAAACAAGCTTTCTATATAGTGTCTGTTTATATATAACTTGCCATACAATCTCAATGATGCATTTAAATTGTAATACATATTTTATTGACACATGGTATAAAAGTGTCTGTAAAAAAGGCCTTTTAAATCTGAATGTGGTGAAATACTTGTATTTACATATGATTTGAATTGAATATTGAAGTTTAACATGAAGTGATTATACCTTGGCCCTGGAATCAAGTTTTTATTTTACTTTCAAACATAACAACCACCATAACTTTATTTCCGTACACTATTGACAACTTCTTGTAAACATACAGTTTTCAATAAAAAAAGGAGAATAATATAAAAAAAATACTGGCTAGAGACTGGACAAAATTAGAAGTCTTCCTTAATAATTATATTTTTTCACATATTTCCTTTGGAGAAACAGGTGGTTACGCTTGACCAAGAAATGCAGATTTCCACAGAATATTGTTGTTTAAAACAAGACAAATAGACAAACTCAACCCGTTACCCTTCGGACTTTGTGCAGGTAACTTGTTCAGCCTCCATTATCGAAACTGATTGTCATCACAGAAAAATGAAACTTTGAAGGTAGTCTGCTGACAATAAAAACCCTGATGATCAGACGAGGGTAGCCTGCACAGGTTAAAGTTAGTTTCAGTTTCAGGATTTTTGCTAAAACGGATTGATGAGTTGCACTTGACTTTGCTAACGTCCAGGTTTCAGCTGCACAAGGCATGATGGTCCACAAATAATGATACTGTCAATTATGTAAATGAAAACAAAGTATTTAAACTTGATTTTTGTGCCCCCACGTTAGTGGCGGGCATTTAGATTTACCCTTGTCTGTCCGTCCTTCCGTCCGTCCGTTCACTTTTGTGTCGCACGTAACTCAAAAAGTATTTGACCTAAAGTCATGAAACTTTACAGGAATGTTGATCAGTATGTGTAGTTGTGCACCTGGGTATTTTCGTCTGGATATTTTTAGTATTTTCAGAGTTATTGCCCTTGACTTAGTAAAATTTTGCAATTTTCAACTTGTGTCGCATGTTACTCAAAAAGTATTTGACCTAGAGTCATGAAACTTTACAGGAATGTTGATCAGCATGTGTAGTTGTGCACCTGGGTATTTTCGTCTGGATATTTTTAGTATTTTCAGAGTTATTGCCCTTGACTTAGTAAAATTTTGCAATTTTCAACTTGTGTCGCATGTAACTCAAAAAGTATTTGACCTAGAGTCATGAAACTTTACAGGAATGTTGATCAGCATGTGTTGTTGTGCACCTGGGTATTTTCGTCTGGATATTTTTAGTATTTTCAGAGTTATTGCCCTTGACTTAGTAAAATTTTGCAATTTTCAACTTGTGTCGCATGTAACTCAAAAAGTATTTGACCTAGAGTCATGAAACTTTACAGGAATGTTGATCAGCATGTGTTGTTGTGCACCTGGGTATTTTCGTCTGGATATTTTTAGTATTTTCAGAGTTATTGCCCTTGACTTAGTAAAATTTTGCAATTTTCAACTTGTGTCGCATGTAACTCAAAAAGTATTTGACCTAGAGTCATGTAACTTTACAGGAATGTTGATCAGCATGTGTAGTTGTGCACCTGGGTATTTTCGTCTGGATATTTTTAGTATTTTCAGAGTTATTGCCCTTGACTTAGTAAAATTTTGCAATTTTCAACTTGTGTCGCACATAACTCAAAAAGTATTTGACCTAGAGTCATGAAACTTTACAGGAATGTTGATCAGCATGTGTAGTTGTGCACCTTGGTATTTTCGTCTGGATATTTTTAGTATTTTCAGAGTTATTGCCCTTGACTTATTAAAATTTTGCAATTTTCAACTTGTGTCGCACGTAACTCAAAAAGTATTTGACCTATCTAGAGTCATGTAACTTCACAGGAATATTGATCAGCATGTGCAGTTATGCACCAGGTATTTTCGTCTGGATTTATTTAGTATTTTTAGAGTTATTGCCCTTCACTTAGAAAATTTTTGCAATTTTCAACTTGTGTCGCAAGTTACTCAAAAAGGATTTGACATAGTCATTAAACCTTATGGGTAGGTTGCTCAGCATATTTAGATTTGCACCTGGGGTTTGGCTTGTGGATTTATCCAGTATTTGTAGAGTTATTTCCCTTGACTTAGTAAAAAGATTGACAGAACAGTGGCGCGGTGGGGGCACCCGTGTCCTATGGACACATTTCTAGTTTTTTCATGTTTCTCATTTTGAAGGCAAATATTGGCATTATAATTATTAGAGTCCTTCACTTTAGTTAAATCTTTCTGTTTCTTTAGTTTTATCGGATTTAGATGGGCCATTGTACATTTTCTGTGGACGTTGTGGCCCGTGTCAAGGAAATATACTCAATAAACAAGTATATCAGAAACTCATTTATTGCTATTTGATTCATATACATCTTGATTTATTATCAACCAAAATGAAATGAAGATTAAACTTCCTATGAAACAGCCTAAAAAGGGAAACTTATCCTGTGTACCTGCGAAGTATTTGTTTACATTTTACAGTATTACAAGGTCTTGTATTAAAGATGTATGTTTTCAATATTGATCTCTTGACAATGATAAAAGTTAATGCAAGATTAATGTTCAAACTAGGGTTATAACAAGATATGAAATATTGACATGTGATACACCGGATTATACACCGGATTATCTGTCAAGATTCTCGGCCGAATGACAAACATTGAATGACAAGGAACAAATGATATCTCTCGGGTTTGAGGTCACTATATAAAATACTGTCTTGTACCTGAGTCATTATATATTTTAACACAACATTGTGGTTTTCTTGTTGTATAATGTTTGTCTCTTTCCTTGTAAGAGTACATATTGTGGTTAATAGATATTTTGTTTTAAGAGTTCTTTAATGGTCTTTTAAGTATTTTACCATATGGATATGGTCAATTAATCATTGTTATATAAAGATTTCCTTAGCTGATTTTACCTATAGGTTATAGGGACTGTACTCTGTGAGTGAAAGGGCGGAGGGACCCTCATTAGGCATAGAATACACATATCT